ACAACTTAAACTTAAGTATAGGCTAATAAGAACTCTTATCAGCCGAATACTCATACATACAAAGACTTCAATCCAACATATATGTATGGACCTTTTACACGAAGGCAATGAATTATATTGAGTTTTCTTCAGCTTATGCTAGCTATGGTGAGTGATTCCCATGCCCTAGAGTGATTCTAGGCACCCTTTGAGTGATTCTAGGTATTTTCCCTCTTCTTTCTCTCCCTATTTTCTCTCTTATTCCTTTAAGAAGCCATTACAGCCATTAACAGCCATAAAGTTCTGTTCAAGAAGACCATTCAACATTCTCTAAGGACTAGAACTGAGCTGGTCCTACATCACTTTTACTATATTATATACTCGTAAAAAAATATGAATACAATGACAAGTATACCCTTGTTAAGTTAGCTACTACCAGAGAACGTAAGAACTACTCTTAACAAAACATAAACTAATGGGCCTTGGGCCCAATGACTCTAACATTATAAACAAAAGAACAAGTGATATCAGCCCAATCTCAAGACACCCCCTCAAGTTGGGAATAGATGTCACACATTCCCAACTTGTGGAGATCATGCTCAAGCTTGTTTCTTGCAATTCTTTTTGTGAGAACATCAACTATTTGTAAGTTAGATGTAAGATATGGTAGGCACACTTCTCCAGATGTCACCCTTTCCCTTATAAAATGTTTATCCACTTCTATATGCTTCATTCTATCATGTTGAACTGGGTTATGGTCAATGTTAATTGTTGCTTGATTATCAGACTATAGCATTATAGGTTATTCTGTTTCAATTCCAATCGCTCCTAACATGGACCATACCCGAAGTATCTTTGAAACACCATGTGCCATAGCTTTGTATTCAACTTCTGCACTCGACCTTGCTACACCTGATTGTTTCTTATTCTTCCATGAAACAGAATTCCCTCTAACTTGGGGCAAACTCCTGATGTAGATCTCCTATCATCTAGGCACCTTGCGCAATCAACATCCATGTAAGCTTCTAACTTCAAATGGCCATGGTCATCAAACAATATGCCTCTACCTGGGTGTCCCTTCAAATAGGTAAATATTCTATTAATAGCCTCCAAGTGCTGAACCTGTGGGGCATGCATGCACTGATTTACCACACTAATTGCATAAGAGAGATTTGGCCGTGTCATGCACAAATATAGCAATAGGCTCACCAATCTATGATACCTCCCAACATCCTTCACTAGCTCACCATCTCAAGCATTCATTTTGTGGTTTTGATCAATAGGTGTATCAATTGGCCTTGCCCCAAGTTTTCCTGTTTTCTGTAGTAGGTCCAAAACATACTTTGTGAAATGAAAATCCCATGTTTGGACCTTGCCACCTCAATGCCTAGAAAATACTTCAACTCCCCAAGGTCCTTAGTCTCAAACTCCTGGTGTAGGTTCCTCTTCAAGGTACTAATCTCACTCAGATCATTTCTTGTGACTACAACATCATCCACATACATTATCAACATTGAGACTAGTGATCTCCTTCTCTTCACAAACAGAGTATGATCAGATTGAGTTTGAGTATAACCAAATAGAGTTAATGCACTCCTAAACCTAATCAAATTCAAGGTGATTGCTTTAAACCAATCAAAGACTTGTAGGTTTAATCCTAGAATGCAGATCAAGGTCCATTCACAGAAACATATTCCTATTGACACGTGATTGTATTTGAAACAGTTCTTTGATTCATAATAAAGGCAGCTTACATTTCCCTATTTGATCTTGAGGGCATACATTGTCCAACACTCTCACCAGTCGACTGATATATATAGGCTTCTTAAACTCAATACAACTACTATTCTGCACTTACTAAATGTGGGACAGAATTTAAACATAATGGCATATCTGAAATGACATAAACACCCCTGTGCTTCATAACACTTCAAAAGGTTTCAAGAGTACCAGTCAAACTAGATCTGTCACATAGATATAAATGGAGTTTTTTAATGGCCTTTATTTTGATCTCTTACCAAGGCTTCAATTCAGATCATTGATTTAGAATTTTAGATGCATGTTGGAATCCATTGAATTTAGAAGAAGGGTCACTTAGATACCAAAGCTGCTCATGTGTTGCATTTACTTCTGTTTAAAAGGTGTGCCTAAACAATAACCAGATGTGTACATTACTTGGGTAGTTGGGTTCACTTTTATTATCTTACTTGGCTAATGACAACAAAAAGCTCTTACATAAGGTGCCAATAAAAAGCCTTTATGCCTGATTATAAAGCTTATGATAGTAATTACTGAATGATCTATATGCTGCATTATTTGCCAGGTGCCAGCAGAAAAAGGATGTTGTTCAGTATTATCTTGTGTTCTATTCCACTTTACATGACTTAAACATTGTTGAAACTATTTGTGTGGTGCAGCTGATGCTAAGTGTTTTCTGTGCAGGATGAAAAAGCTGGTTTTTTTGTCTCCTGTCTTTCACCATATCTTCCTATTTGATTCATTTATTAACATATTAATTAGATACTGCTTATCCAACAAAAGGCTCTTATTCCTAGTTACTTCTTTTTCTGGGAAAAATATTATTTGATCCTGAAAATGCTTTTCTAGGTGAAAGCTCACCCTGTTAATGGCATTGGTAAGAAGGCGAAGGATCCAATTTTTGGACTTACAATGGGTGCTGGTTCTCAGGCTTCGTCAGATGTTTTTAGGTGAATTTAGAATCCTATGCATTAGGAAGCTACTGAATTATTTAGAGTTATATTTGGGAAATTTGAGATTTAGGTCTTCATAATATGCATAAATTGAAAATGGATGTCTTGTAGATTATTGATTGAAAATCCTCTATATACTTGATTTTGTGCAATAGATGGTTTTGCGTTGAAAGTGGAAATGCTGATAATCCTTCAGTTATACTTATTCATGGTTTTCCATCACAGGTGAGAATCTTTTTGGGGTTGTTCTTGGTTTCTTATGAATTCAAGAGGATATATTTTTCCTTTATTTTATTATAGATGGTTCTTCCGTATTTGCACAATGTCTCTGATTTATCCATTTTCAGCTATCAAGAAGCATAATGTTGATGTATTAGTCCTTGTAGGAAAGATTGCATATGCATCCAACTTCCCTCATTCTTTATACTTTCAATTTTCTAAAATAACCTAGCAAATCATGTCATGATTTATTAATGCATCCCATCCCCCCGCCCCAAATAAAAAAAGAAGACAAAAAGGAAATAAGAACTATAATTATTGCTTTTTATGAGTGGTTGGATGTCTCCACCAGTATGCATTTCATTTGATCAACTGTGAAGATTCAAATTGTTCTGAACATTATGAAATACAGATATTAATTGTGCTTCACATTTGCTCATGGGTTATTCTATAAACTAAGTTTAGCTCTAGTTATTTCCACATTGGGTACACACTTGACATAGTTATTCCTACAGGTTTTTCATTGTTCTCAAACCACAGTAACATTTTATTTTTTTTTCTCATTATGTTTTCAACTTCAATTGTTAATCCTATTTTTAACTTTACATTTGGACTATTTAAATCAATTTTATTAAGACAAATATGAAGTTTTGATTGAATTGGGCTTGATGGAGGGAATAAGTTGCATAAATATATATTATGTCTTTCTGATACTTACAGGCATATTCATATCGCAAAGCTCTTCCTGTACTCTCAAAAGAATACCATGCCATTGCTTTTGATTGGCTAGGTAGGTCCAAATTATAGTTCATCTGACTAGTTAGCTCTACAAGTTCTTATATTACTATATATATTTTTTTGTTTTTCTTTTGGGTGTACTTCTTTTATGAAGAATTTTATCAATCAGTTGCACTGTATTCTGTTTTCGTTTCAGCCGCTTTTGCCTGGTAGATAAGAAATTATTGTCAATAATGAAAGCAATGAAAAAAATGGATGTAAAAAATTGCAAATGAGTGAAGAAATAGACTATTGTAGATAAGAAATAGGACTAGTAGATAAGAAATTATTGTCAATAATGAAAGCAATATATTATTTGATAACAGAACATTTTTAAGATAAGGCCCTTGATAGAGTGGAATGAAGAAATAGGACTATTGTAGCTAACCTTTAAGTATTTGGGATAAGGTTTGGGTGTGTTTTTTTAACCAGTAGGAAAAATTATTTTATTAAATTAGTTATAGATGAGATTAGTACAAACTTATAGATGAGAGTTGCCATCTTGCAACTCTCTAGAGATAAATGGCAACTGTTTTCAGTTGAACATGTTGGGCTTGCCTTTCAATCTTTGGCAGTGGAGCATACTTGAGCAGATAGTGATGGCGATGGGAGGTACACTGCTTTTGTTTAACAAACATGATCTCAGAGCGGTATGCCTGAAAATTGCTGGAGTCAAGCCAGAGTTGATTCCGAGATACTTCATGCTGCATGCCGTAGGTCTATGGAACAGAGTTGGGGTGGCCTCGGAAGTGGAGGCGATGCTCTGGTTAGGGAAGACGAAGGAGAATGATGGCGAGGCATGGGTGAATGAGTACAGTGAAGTGGAAACTGATGTGGAAGCAGGAAAGGTTGCAGAGAGGATTTTGGGTGACATGCTTCAAATTCCAGACTTGATTGCAGGAAGAGAATGGGGAATAAAAGCGGTTAATGAGGAAAGAAATTTGCATGGGGAAAGAGGCTCACATGGGGAAGTTACACCGAAAGGGGCTAAGGCCTTGTTTGATGATTAAGTGGTTGTTAAAAGAAGTACTTGTTGCACAAATACTTCTTAGAAGTACTTATTTTAACCACTTAAGGTTGTTTGGTAACCCATTTGCTAATCACTTATTATGTTTTTAAGCACTTATTGGGGTGGGAATGTTTGGTAAGCTACTTTCCCCATAAGTGCTTATATTGACAAAAATGACAATTTTATCCCTCACCTCAATGAGAAGAATATCTTAAAAAAATAGAAGAAAGTGGAAAAATGACAGGTCCGCTCGCCACTTTTCCTCACTGCCGATCGTCGCCGGTGGACCTATAACTGGGTGTGCCGCCACCTGGTTCGAATGAGAGATAGAGGTATAATCCTCGCACAGGGGTATTTTAGGTATTATAAGAAAATACTAGGGACTGGTTCGTTCCATTTTATTGGAGTACTTCAAAAAGTGTTGAAAAAAAAGCCAACTTCAGGTCACTTTTTTAAGGAGTACTTTTAACTTCTCCACCTTTTTACCAAACACATAAAACCACTTAATAACCACTTAATAACCACTTAATGTGTGGTCCCAGCTCTTAAAAGAAGTACTTGTTAAAAGAAGTACTTCTTATAAGTAAAATCAAACAGGGGCTAAATCGGTCAGTGGGTGGGGTCCATTGCTTAAAGAGAAGAGATTTGAAAAGAATTTAGCTGAATCGGATGGTCTGCCAGCGGTTCAAAAGAGTCACTTGTCGGGGTCTAGAAACTCACGTGACCACACTAGTAATCATCTGTTGCTTGGGCCTTTGATAAACTCGAGCAGTGGGGTCTGCTCAAATACATTTGTCATCTCTCCTGGGTCCTCTTCCCCATGTTTACAAGATAGGACCTACAAGGGCTCAGTGCATGCGGGATTAGATGATTCATCTCTAGAAACCATGCGAGTGGCTAAGGAGCATGGTGTACGATCACCATCGGCTACCTTTAAACTGGGTTCTTGACTGGAGACCTTGTTATGCCAAAAAGAAATGTCAAAGGAAGATCAAGGTTGCAATTCCAAAGAGATTGATGGCGGGAAGGAGATTCAGTTAAGGAGAAAGGTAGTTGGCAAGATAAAGTTTCATGGGCTTATCAGACCAAAGTTTAAAAGGAGTGGAACAATAGGAAGGAGGATTTTGACTAAGGCCAGAGAAAGATGGGTCTGGGTGGTCGCTAGGTATGACAAAAATGGTAAGTAGAGGATTGTAGGTGGAACTCAAGGGGTTTGCGACGAACACACTCCTCCCATGAATGGCGATGTAGGACATCCTTTTCAGGAATTTAGGGATCCCGAAGGGATTCTTGGTTCTTCCAATCCCGGGGTTATAGAGCTGACACCCCTTGAGGTCGGGTGTGATCTTGGAGAACCGGGGTCGATGGCATCACAAGAAAAAGTCGGTGCTAAGGATCTAGTTGTTAACTCTGAGAAAGAGATTCTTAAATTTTCAGATGGGATTGAGGAGGGTGATAGAGTGGTGGAAAGAGTTGAAGTGGAAGAAAACTGTGACAAGGAAGGAAATTTATCAAAGAGAAAGGTGTTTTAATGTGGAGCCAATAGCAGGGAGATGGTGCGGGTAACTTGGAAGGTAACGTGTGTTGGAAAAGTTGAAGGGATGGACAAAGAAGGAGTGTGGACTTCGATTTTGATCGGAAAGCTGGGGATGGAGCTAGGTAGAAGAGTCGTAACCGACCTTGGACATACTAATTTAGAGAACCAAAAGGCAGAGGATGTGTGAAAAACAGGAGGTTACAGTAATAGACAATTTGCTCATGTAACCAAGGTTTTTCATCGTCTCAAGGAAGGGTTGGTCGGAAATGGTCCTTGCGGCAAACTCTAGATGTCAGAATTGTCTGATCAAAAGCAGTGCTGCAAATGATTTAGAAGCTGATGCAGGCAGTAAAATTCAAGGCACACAACAAAGACCAGAAGAAGAAAACCAAGGAGGAGAAGTTTCAAAGATTGGGGGCAGGAATAGAGAGAAAACCAACACTCTTACTTCTTCCTCCAATATTAAGCCTTGCTGCACAACCCTTTCCCAAGTCCACCCTCATATTGGATATAGGCTCAAAGGTAGCTATGAGTTCCTTTAAATTCATCAGGTCATTTTGATTACCTCCTTCACATAGCAAGATTATATCATCTACAAACTGCAAGTGTGAGACTGTCTTTAGCCTCTAAATACCTTATCCTGATTAGCATTGACAATTATCCTACTTAAGGCATCTGGTACTAAAGTGAAGAGGAAAGGGATAAAGGATCTCCTTGTCTTAACCCTCGTTTATCTGGAAAAAAGTCTTTGGCCACTCCATTTATCAAAATTGAATAGTGTACTTAACTTAAAAACCCTTTAATCCACATCCTCCACCTGTCCCCTAATCAAATCCTTTCTAAGATTTCCAAGAGGAAAGACCAGCCCAATAGATCACAGGCCTTCTACAAATCCAGTTTGCAAATTAAACCTTTTCCCCTCTACTTCTTCTTTGCTATACACTTGTTGAAGATTAATTAGTTTTATGTTGTTTTTCTGAGTAGATGTTTTATGTTAGTTGTTAGATAGGAGGTGGGGACCACAGTAGTTATGTGAGTCCAAATTTTATTATGTTATCTGAGTAGATGTTTTATGTTAGTTGTTAGATAGGAGGTGGGGACCACAGTAGTTATGTGAGTCCAAATTTTATTATGTTTTTTGAGTGTTATATATGCTATCTTATGTTTTGCCACCCTATAAGGGCATAGTTGTCTTTGCACTGTTCTATTATTTTAGTATAAATAATAAGTGAAGTGGGCTACTAGATTATTGCTCTCTTTTCTTTCAACTTCTCTTCTCCTTCTCTCTTCCTTCTCTCCTCAAGAAACTACTTTCTTTCATATTTTTTAATTCAGCAGATTTCTACTTGGTATCAGAGCGACGACTAGGGTTTCTTGAAGCATTCTCATGCAGCCCTAGATCAGCCAACTGCATGAAGTAGTAAAGGGCTGATCGATCTGCTAAAGATTGCCTAGTTCTTGGAGTTTTTGGTGGGATCTAGACATCAGGAAGAACTGGAGTACGAGGAAGAGTCCTAGAAAAATTGGACTCTTTATTTTTGATATGATCTTGGGTGCTCAGGTATTGTTAGTTTTCTTTTGATTTTCTGAAGATGGCGGTTTGGTTTCTGAAATTTTCTAGGCCTTCCGGAGTGATCGATTCACTTTTCTCTCTGTTGGGAGGTGTGGGGAGGAGAGAGATTTCCCTCCAGCTAGGGTTTTCTTCTTCTGGAAGGGTTGGTTTCTGTGTGTGTGGTATTAAATTATTTTTTGAAGGTCTCCAATCTATTTTTTCTTACTGTTGAACTGTTTGAAGTAAAATGGAGAGTTGGAATACCGAGATGAAATCTACCGGTACTGTGGGACTGGGTGT